ATCTGCTTTTGAGTCGACTCAAAAGAGCCGCAATCTGCTTTTGAGTCGACTCAAAAGAGCCGCAATCTGCTTTTGAGTCGACTCAAAAGAGCCGCAATCTGCTTTTGAGTCGACTCAAAAGAGCCGCAATCTGCTTTTGAGTCGACTCAAAAGAGCCGCAATCTGCTTTTGAGTCGACTCAAAAGAGCCGCAATCTGCTTTTGAGTCGACTCAAAAGAGCCGCAATCTGCTTTTGAGTCGACTCAAAAGAGCCGCAATCTGCTTTTGAGTCGACTCAAAAGAGCCGCAATCTGCTTTTGAGTCGACTCAAAAGAGCCGCAATCTGCTTTTGAGTCGACTCAAAAGAGCCGCAATCTGCTTTTGAGTCGACTCAAAAGAGCCGCAATCTGCTTTTGAGTCGACTCAAAAGAGCCGCAATCTGCTTTTGAGTCGACTCAAAAGAGCCGCAATCTGCTTTTGAGTCGACTCAAAAGAGCCGCAATCTGCTTTTGAGTCGACTCAAAAGAGCCGCAATCTGCTTTTGAGTCGACTCAAAAGAGCCGCAATCTGCTTTTGAGTCGACTCAAAAGAGCCGCAATCTGCTTTTGAGTCGACTCAAAAGAGCCGCAATCTGCTTTTGAGTCGACTCAAAAGAGCCGCAATCTGCTTTTGAGTCGACTCAAAAGAGCCGCAATCTGCTTTTGAGTCGACTCAAAAGAGCCGCAATCTGCTTTTGAGTCGACTCAAAAGAGCCGCAATCTGCTTTTGAGTCGACTCAAAAGAGCCGCAATCTGCTTTTGAGTCGACTCAAAAGAGCCGCAATCTGCTTTTGAGTCGACTCAAAAGAGCCGCAATCTGCTTTTGAGTCGACTCAAAAGAGCCGCAATCTGCTTTTGAGTCGACTCAAAAGAGCCGCAATCTGCTTTTGAGTCGACTCAAAAGAGCCGCAATCTGCTTTTGAGTCGACTCAAAAGAGCCGCAATCTGCTTTTGAGTCGACTCAAAAGAGCCGCAATCTGCTTTTGAGTCGACTCAAAAGAGCCGCAATCTGCTTTTGAGTCGACTCAAAAGAGCCGCAATCTGCTTTTGAGTCGACTCAAAAGAGCCGCAATCTGCTTTTGAGTCGACTCAAAAGAGCCGCAATCTGCTTTTGAGTCGACTCAAAAGAGCCGCAATCTGCTTTTGAGTCGACTCAAAAGAGCCGCAATCTGCTTTTGAGTCGACTCAAAAGAGCCGCAATCTGCTTTTGAGTCGACTCAAAAGAGCCGCAATCTGCTTTTGAGTCGACTCAAAAGAGCCGCAATCTGCTTTTGAGTCGACTCAAAAGAGCCGCAATCTGCTTTTGAGTCGACTCAAAAGAGCCGCAATCTGCTTTTGAGTCGACTCAAAAGAGCCGCAATCTGCTTTTGAGTCGACTCAAAAGAGCCGCAATCTGCTTTTGAGTCGACTCAAAAGAGCCGCAATCTGCTTTTGAGTCGACTCAAAAGAGCCGCAATCTGCTTTTGAGTCGACTCAAAAGAGCCGCAATCTGCTTTTGAGTCGACTCAAAAGAGCCGCAATCTGCTTTTGAGTCGACTCAAAAGAGCCGCAATCTGCTTTTGAGTCGACTCAAAAGAGCCGCAATCTGCTTTTGAGTCGACTCAAAAGAGCCGCAATCTGCTTTTGAGTCGACTCAAAAGAGCCGCAATCTGCTTTTGAGTCGACTCAAAAGAGCCGCAATCTGCTTTTGAGTCGACTCAAAAGAGCCGCAATCTGCTTTTGAGTCGACTCAAAAGAGCCGCAATCTGCTTTTGAGTCGACTCAAAAGAGCCGCAATCTGCTTTTGAGTCGACTCAAAAGAGCCGCAATCTGCTTTTGAGTCGACTCAAAAGAGCCGCAATCTGCTTTTGAGTCGACTCAAAAGAGCCGCAATCTGCTTTTGAGTCGACTCAAAAGAGCCGCAATCTGCTTTTGAGTCGACTCAAAAGAGCCGCAATCTGCTTTTGAGTCGACTCAAAAGAGCCGCAATCTGCTTTTGAGTCGACTCAAAAGAGCCGCAATCTGCTTTTGAGTCGACTCAAAAGAGCCGCAATCTGCTTTTGAGTCGACTCAAAAGAGCCGCAATCTGCTTTTGAGTCGACTCAAAAGAGCCGCAATCTGCTTTTGAGTCGACTCAAAAGAGCCGCAATCTGCTTTTGAGTCGACTCAAAAGAGCCGCAATCTGCTTTTGAGTCGACTCAAAAGAGCCGCAATCTGCTTTTGAGTCGACTCAAAAGAGCCGCAATCTGCTTTTGAGTCGACTCAAAAGAGCCGCAATCTGCTTTTGAGTCGACTCAAAAGAGCCGCAATCTGCTTTTGAGTCGACTCAAAAGAGCCGCAATCTGCTTTTGAGTCGACTCAAAAGAGCCGCAATCTGCTTTTGAGTCGACTCAAAAGAGCCGCAATCTGCTTTTGAGTCGACTCAAAAGAGCCGCAATCTGCTTTTGAGTCGACTCAAAAGAGCCGCAATCTGCTTTTGAGTCGACTCAAAAGAGCCGCAATCTGCTTTTGAGTCGACTCAAAAGAGCCGCAATCTGCTTTTGAGTCGACTCAAAAGAGCCGCAATCTGCTTTTGAGTCGACTCAAAAGAGCCGCAATCTGCTTTTGAGTCGACTCAAAAGAGCCGCAATCTGCTTTTGAGTCGACTCAAAAGAGCCGCAATCTGCTTTTGAGTCGACTCAAAAGAGCCGCAATCTGCTTTTGAGTCGACTCAAAAGAGCCGCAATCTGCTTTTGAGTCGACTCAAAAGAGCCGCAATCTGCTTTTGAGTCGACTCAAAAGAGCCGCAATCTGCTTTTGAGTCGACTCAAAAGAGCCGCAATCTGCTTTTGAGTCGACTCAAAAGAGCCGCAATCTGCTTTTGAGTCGACTCAAAAGAGCCGCAATCTGCTTTTGAGTCGACTCAAAAGAGCCGCAATCTGCTTTTGAGTCGACTCAAAAGAGCCGCAATCTGCTTTTGAGTCGACTCAAAAGAGCCGCAATCTGCTTTTGAGTCGACTCAAAAGAGCCGCAATCTGCTTTTGAGTCGACTCAAAAGAGCCGCAATCTGCTTTTGAGTCGACTCAAAAGAGCCGCAATCTGCTTTTGAGTCGACTCAAAAGAGCCGCAATCTGCTTTTGAGTCGACTCAAAAGAGCCGCAATCTGCTTTTGAGTCGACTCAAAAGAGCCGCAATCTGCTTTTGAGTCGACTCAAAAGAGCCGCAATCTGCTTTTGAGTCGACTCAAAAGAGCCGCAATCTGCTTTTGAGTCGACTCAAAAGAGCCGCAATCTGCTTTTGAGTCGACTCAAAAGAGCCGCAATCTGCTTTTGAGTCGACTCAAAAGAGCCGCAATCTGCTTTTGAGTCGACTCAAAAGAGCCGCAATCTGCTTTTGAGTCGACTCAAAAGAGCCGCAATCTGCTTTTGAGTCGACTCAAAAGAGCCGCAATCTGCTTTTGAGTCGACTCAAAAGAGCCGCAATCTGCTTTTGAGTCGACTCAAAAGAGCCGCAATCTGCTTTTGAGTCGACTCAAAAGAGCCGCAATCTGCTTTTGAGTCGACTCAAAAGAGCCGCAATCTGCTTTTGAGTCGACTCAAAAGAGCCGCAATCTGCTTTTGAGTCGACTCAAAAGAGCCGCAATCTGCTTTTGAGTCGACTCAAAAGAGCCGCAATCTGCTTTTGAGTCGACTCAAAAGAGCCGCAATCTGCTTTTGAGTCGACTCAAAAGAGCCGCAATCTGCTTTTGAGTCGACTCAAAAGAGCCGCAATCTGCTTTTGAGTCGACTCAAAAGAGCCGCAATCTGCTTTTGAGTCGACTCAAAAGAGCCGCAATCTGCTTTTGAGTCGACTCAAAAGAGCCGCAATCTGCTTTTGAGTCGACTCAAAAGAGCCGCAATCTGCTTTTGAGTCGACTCAAAAGAGCCGCAATCTGCTTTTGAGTCGACTCAAAAGAGCCGCAATCTGCTTTTGAGTCGACTCAAAAGAGCCGCAATCTGCTTTTGAGTCGACTCAAAAGAGCCGCAATCTGCTTTTGAGTCGACTCAAAAGAGCCGCAATCTGCTTTTGAGTCGACTCAAAAGAGCCGCAATCTGCTTTTGAGTCGACTCAAAAGAGCCGCAATCTGCTTTTGAGTCGACTCAAAAGAGCCGCAATCTGCTTTTGAGTCGACTCAAAAGAGCCGCAATCTGCTTTTGAGTCGACTCAAAAGAGCCGCAATCTGCTTTTGAGTCGACTCAAAAGAGCCGCAATCTGCTTTTGAGTCGACTCAAAAGAGCCGCAATCTGCTTTTGAGTCGACTCAAAAGAGCCGCAATCTGCTTTTGAGTCGACTCAAAAGAGCCGCAATCTGCTTTTGAGTCGACTCAAAAGAGCCGCAATCTGCTTTTGAGTCGACTCAAAAGAGCCGCAATCTGCTTTTGAGTCGACTCAAAAGAGCCGCAATCTGCTTTTGAGTCGACTCAAAAGAGCCGCAATCTGCTTTTGAGTCGACTCAAAAGAGCCGCAATCTGCTTTTGAGTCGACTCAAAAGAGCCGCAATCTGCTTTTGAGTCGACTCAAAAGAGCCGCAATCTGCTTTTGAGTCGACTCAAAAGAGCCGCAATCTGCTTTTGAGTCGACTCAAAAGAGCCGCAATCTGCTTTTGAGTCGACTCAAAAGAGCCGCAATCTGCTTTTGAGTCGACTCAAAAGAGCCGCAATCTGCTTTTGAGTCGACTCAAAAGAGCCGCAATCTGCTTTTGAGTCGACTCAAAAGAGCCGCAATCTGCTTTTGAGTCGACTCAAAAGAGCCGCAATCTGCTTTTGAGTCGACTCAAAAGAGCCGCAATCTGCTTTTGAGTCGACTCAAAAGAGCCGCAATCTGCTTTTGAGTCGACTCAAAAGAGCCGCAATCTGCTTTTGAGTCGACTCAAAAGAGCCGCAATCTGCTTTTGAGTCGACTCAAAAGAGCCGCAATCTGCTTTTGAGTCCCGCATGCCAGCCGTAAGGCACCCCACCATCTCTCATTCACCTGTCACCCGCAATCTCTAACGTCTCATTGCACCCACCTTGACCGCACCACACCGCACTGTACCCACCTTGAGAGCCGCGATTTCTGCTGCCTGTTTCTGCATGCCGGCCGTGAGCCGCCCCACCGTCTCATTCAGCTGCGCCGCCCGCTGCTCCGCGTCCCGTGCCCGCGCCTCCAGCATCACCGCCCAGTCGCCGCCCAAGTCCGCCATCCCGTTGCTGCCGCCCGCCTTGGCTCTGGCCCTCTGCAGGGCCTGCACGTTTTCCACCTGCCCGCCCAGCCGCCCCACCTCCTCCCTCACCACCCCTGTGACATTCTCTGCTGCGATTCGTTCTACATACTCTGGAGGGGTTGTGCGGAGGCAGGGGGAATGGGATGAGAAGAGGGATAGAATGGGGAGCCACGCTCTGGCCCCAGCTCTGGCGCGCTGCAGCGCCTGCACGCTTTCCAACTGCCCGCCCGGCCGCCCCACCTCCTCCCTCACCACCCCTGTCACGTTCTCTGCTGCGATTCGTTCTACATACTCTGGAGGAGGGTGGGGGGAAGGTAGGGGGGGAAGGAGATAAGGGGGCGCCACTCTCTGGCGCGCTGCAGCGCCTGCACGCTCTCCACCTGCCCGCCCAGCCCAGCCTGCAGGGGGCGCCACGTTCTGGCCTTGGCTCTGGCGCGCTGCAGCGCCTGCACGCTTTCCAACTGCCCGCCCAGCCGGCCCACCTCCTCCCGCACCACCCCTGTCACGTTCTCTGCTGCAATTCGTTCTACATACTCTGGTGGAGGGGGGGGGGGGGTGGGGGTGTGGAGAGACGGCAGGGGAGACAGGGGGGTTTGAGGTAGGGATAACGGACTCAAATGTCAACTTCGCCTGGCTGCCCAGCCGCCCCACCTCCTCCCGCACCACCCCCGTCACGTTCTCTGCTGCGATTCGTTCTACATACTCTGGTAAGGAAGGGGGGAGAGGGGGGGAGGCAGGGGAGCAGGGGGGTTTGAACTTTGAGGTAGGACAAGGACGGGAGGCAAGGGGGCGGAGGTAGTAAGGGGGGGGTGGAGGTAGTAAGAGGGAGAGGGGGGGGGGGAGTCAAAAGTCTCCTCCACCTGTCCGCCCAGCCGCCCCACCTCCTCCCGCACCACCCCCGCTGTGTCTTCCGCGGCCATTCTTGTCACGTGCTCAGCAGTAGGAGGGTTGAAGGAGGGGGGACGGGGCGGAAGTGGGGAGCGGAAGGGGGGGGGAGAGGGGGGAGGCAGGAAGGCGGAGGTAAGGGAGCGGAGGCAGGCGGGGGAGGCGGAGGGGCGGGGGCAGGGGGGGTGGGTGGCGTGGCAGGGGGGGTGGGTGGCGTGGCAGGGGGGGTGGGTGGCGTGGCAGGGGTTCCGGAGGCAGGGGGTCCGGAGGTAGGGGGTCCGGAGGTAGGGGGTCCGGAGGTAGGGAAAATGGGGAAAGGAGTGATAAGGAAAGGGAGGCAGGAGAGAAGGGTGTGAGATGCGGAAGAGAAGTGGGAGAGAAGGGGAATAATGGGGGGATTGAGGATTAGAGAAAGGGAGATGGGAAAACCAAAGAGGAGGGATCGAGAGAGGAAGGGAGTTACATGGGTGTGAGGCGTTGGAAGGAGATAAGCAAGAATGCGGAGCATGAAAGGAAGGGGGGGCATGGGGGGATGGGGGAGCATGGGGGGATGGGGGAGCATGGGGGGATGGGGGAGCATGGGGGGATGGGGGAGCATGGGGGGATGGGGGAGCATGGGGATTGGGAAGAGTTGATTGGCGAAACAGAGCATACCTTCAATCGCCATGAGTCGCGTGTCAAGGTCAGCTGATGGCTTCCTTCCCTCCCACAATTGTTGCTGCCACGTCACATGCCACGTTACATGCCACGTCACATGCCAGGTCACATGCCACGTCAGCCACACCGTGTCATGCCATGGAGACGGATAATTCCAGACATGCGAGTAGGACATTCGAGCAGCGCACAGTGGGGGCCTTTTGAGTCGACCTAAAAGTCAGCGCACCAGATGGGAACAGAACAAGAGAGCAGCACAGCGCACCTGGCGAACGAGAGAGAGTAGGGCGCACCTGGTGCATGGCGAGGAGAGAGAGAAAGGCGGTGACGAGACAGCCTGTCGATATGCCCTGCCACGTGGCACAAGCATGGTAGAAACCGGCATGGGCGACACAGCATGGGGCGATGGCATGGGGCGATGGCATGGGGCGACACAGCATGGGGCGACACAGCATGGGGCGATGGCATGATGGGGCAATCGAATGAATGCGGTCAAATCCCGCTTTTCCGCCCCTTTTCCCCCTCCTCTGTAACGCCTGTGGGGCTTACATGTAAGGGTTGAGTGCCTCCGCTGCGCCTCAAATATAACCCTCGTTTTGACCCAGTGGGTAGTGAGATGTTATATGCTCCCCCCGCCCCTCCATCCCTCCCCAAACTGGATTTTTTGCACACTCTGGAGTGACTTTTGATTCGACTCAGAAGTATCAAGTCGCTGCTACTCCCATCATGAATCTTGACTCTGGAGTGACTTTTGATTCGACTCAGAAGTATCAAGTCGCTGCTACTCCCATCATGAATCTTGACTCTGGAGTGACTTTTGAGTCGACTCAGAAGTATCAAGTCGCTGCTACTCCCATCATGAATCTTGACTCTGGAGTGACTTTTGAGTCGACTCAGAAGTCCTCTCCCGTTTCTTCCTTCCGGGCTCCCCTTCCCCCACCACCCCCCTTTCCCCCACCCCTTTCAAGTGTGATTTTTTTGCTCCCCCCCGCCCCCTCCTTCCCCCAAAGCAGGGGCAATACAACAGCAAGTTGAGCATGTTGTTGTTTTAGGTTCACAATCGAATATTTTTAAGTCGAGTCTACTACTACTACTAGTAGCACGAAAAGAACGCGGTGGCCAAGACGAGGCTCAGGAGGCTCGAAATCGCCAGCTGTCGAGTGCGCTTCGCCATCCTTATCTTTCCCCCCTTCCTTCCGGGATCCCCCCTTCCCCCCCTTTCCCCCCCTCCCCTCCAATCTCAAGTGTGAATTTCTGCAGAGAAAAAGCAGCGGGCAAGACGAGACGCGGCTCGAGAAGCTCACAATGGCCAGCTGTCGGGTGCGATACGCCGTCACTATCATCCCCCCTTCCTTCGGAATCCCTCCTCCCCTCCTCCCCCGCTCCCCCCCTCCCTCCCATCCCAAGTTTGAATTTCTGCAGAGAAAAAGCAGCGGGCAACACGTGAGGAGGCTCACAATGGCCAGCTGTCGAGAGCGCTTCGCCGCTATCATCCCCCATTCCTTCGGGATCCCCCCTCCCCCTCCTCCCCCCCCCCCTCCCCCCCTCCCCCCTCCCCCATCATCTCAAGTGTGAATTTCTGCAGAGAAAAAGCAGCGGGCAAGACGAGGCTCAGGAGGCTCACAATCGCCAGCTGTCGAGTGCGCTTCGCCATCACTATCATCCCCACGCCGCCGGCTGCCCACTGACGGATGTCGCTCTGTCCCTTCATCGCCGGACGATGCTCTCTGCCGGCCGTCATTCACTACCTGCCGGCCGTCGTTAACTACTTTGCCGGCCGTCGTTCACTACTAATCGCGCGAGCAGCAGCTTCAGAAGAGCGAGCGACGAGAGCAGCACGGCCGGTGCGAGGGAAAGCGCCGCGGCGCAAGGAACAAAAGAGCGACTCGGAGGCGGCGTCTAAAAAAAACGGTGTTGGCGGCAACAACTATCTCCGAGACCCTGAGAGTGATAAGTACTTCTGCACTGCGTGGTTTCTTTGGGTCAGTTTTAAGAATTCTCGGAAACTACTTTCAAACGCAAGTTGGCAGTGCCACCTCGGAAGTGCACAGAACTTCGAAATGCAAATCGCTGGCTCCGTGTGGTGCTGGGAGAGTTTCATCTGTACTATATGTCTATAACGTGGATGTTGACCAACGTGTAGGTGGTTGGGAGTTCTGAACTGATGCCGCCGGTGAGTTTAACGATGCTCAAGCTCCGACGTTCGCTGACGACGTCGAGACTACTACTGTACATTGTTTAACCATACGTACATATGTCGAACAGTGCTCCACACAGTGCTGCATAGTGGTGCCTCACACAGTGCTTCAGGTCCTAAAAAATCGGTGAGGGTCCCGCCCAACCAACCCAAATTCCCGATTTCTACCCAATGCCGCCCATGTGATAAATTCAAATAAGCTGAACTCAAGCTTCCTTCCACTCCATCCAACCGCATTCGCTGGTGACAGCAGTACCCTTCGTCCATACATATGGTAGTCTTCGAACAGTGCGTTGCAAATGCGCATACACAGGCAAGCAATGCAAATGAATTGTTACCCAGGACGGAAACCACCGCGTCGCGAATCCCGGTGATGTTCGCTTGTGAATCAATCTTTCACTGACACGTGCCCGCGAATATTTCCCTCAGGATTCTACAGCGTGACCGGTGTTACATTGATACGTCTGGAGGAGTCACATTTCTCGCCGACAGTGTCGAAGGTTCTGAAACGAATGTCGACGGATGTCGTTCGTGACCAAAGGCGGTGGTGTACAGCAGCAGCTTTCGCTGATCTGTATGGAAAATAAGCAGTCGCAGAGATCAGCGACGCAAGTTACTCGCATGAAGTTGTTGATGGCCTTTTTCGCACATTGGTGTGGTGTGACGAGCTCAGCATCATAGTTCGGAAAATTGATCGCCGTGAAGAGACATCTCTTTACGGCAGCCTTATCGAGCTTCAGAATTTTCCAGTAAATTGTCACCACTATCACATGTCACATGTCAGCCTTATAGAGCTTCAGAATTTTCCTTTGACCTAGGATCCCATAATTATAAGAATAATTCACAAGGACCGCATCGATATTCCCCTTGTTCTCAAAATATCCACCCCCCCTCCCCCCCCCCCCCCCCCCCCCCCCCCCTCCATTCCTGTGGTCCAACCCACAGCTTTCGTGTACTGAGGCGCATGCATCACCTCGCCCGACACTGCGTTAGAAGAAAAAGTTACCATCAACCAGGGTACACCACCACCCACGTGTGTGTATACATACATCAGCATCATCACTCCACTAATACCGCCCCCCTCCCCCGCCACCACCACCACCCCGACTGCTATACCCACCCCCTCCCCCACCACCACCTCCCCCTCCTTGATACCCATGCTCCTGTTGCCTGTACGCCCCTCCCCCTCCTTTAGACGACCTTGGAGGTGCTTCCTCCTCCTCATACTCATCGTACCCTCCCCTCCCTCCTCCACCTCCCCCACCCCCTCCTCTCCCCCCGTCCCTGCCATAATCCCTACCCCTATCGTCATACCCATCATCCCGCCCGTAATCCCCTCCCCCTCTCCCCCCGCCCCCTCCCTGTCCCCCATGTGCTGCCCTGCTGCCAGAGCCGTGGGAGTGGCTGTCGTGGGGGTCCCCGCCACCCGATGCGGCTGGGGCGTCTGCGTGGGTGAGGAAATAAGTGGGGGATAGGGGGGAGTATGGAAGGCGAGAGAGATTGAGAGGTGACTGAACTGCTGCCCTGCTTCCAGAGCCGTGGGAGTGGCTGTCGTGAGGGTCCCCGCCACCCGATGCGGCTGGGGTGTCTGTGTTTTGAGAAGAGAGAGGAGGTGAAGGGGGAGGGGTGAGGGGTTTTGGAGGGGGGAAGAAGGTGACTGAACTGCTGCCCTTCTGCCAGAGCTATGGGAGTGGCTGTCGTGAGTGTCCCCACTCCAGATACAGCTGGGGCATCTGTGTGGGTGTGTGCGGGGGGGAGGTGAGGGGAAGGGAGGGGAAAGTGGAGGTGGGGGAAGAGAGGGCGAAGGATTTTTGGATGCGAGAAATTATGAGCGGGAGAAGTGTTTTCTATAGGTTGTGATGTGACAGAGATACAGGGTCACCAGCCGCGTAATGTCGTGTCCATTCAGCTCTGTAATGCAGTGCTGCCGGTTGCCAGAGCAGTGGGAGTGGGAGTGTTCGTCGAGTGGATATCTGGCATTCCATGCAGGTGAGGCACCTCTCTGTGTGCGTGTGAGGGATGTGATGTGAGGGGAGAGACGAGAGCCACTGGGATATGTGGTTCAAGGAGAGGGATTTGAGGTGGTTACCTGCAAAGAGGGAGTTGAGGCCTGGCTTCTTCCCCTTGCTCTTCTTCTTCAGCTCCAACGCGCCACCTGCCACAAAACACATGACCAAGACCCCACGCAAAATAGAAACAGTACACGGCCAAACAGAAAGAGAGGCAGGTTTATGAGTTAGTGTTTGAGGCGCCTTAAGAGAAAAAACTCTTTGTTTTCCTTCACTCCAAAAGGTCCGCTCTGACTTAGGGTTTCACTACATATGACCAGGCCAGACAGTGAATGGAAAAGGCATGGCCAGCTGAGTGCATCAGGGCCGTACAAAACGAGGCGACATGAAAGTCACCAGACATGGCGTAACAGGGGTGAGGCGTGAGCGTGGGTATGCCATGCCTACACTTGAAGCGTGTCAAGGCACTATAATAGTCGTGTTACAATGCGTCTGCAAAGCATGCACATGCCAAGGCGTTTGGAGGCATCGCATCCAAACCTAACATACCGAGAGGGGAATGCGTCTCCTGCACGATTTCCATGTTGCGGTAGGTGTAGCCGACGAAATTGATGTCCTTGGATGGCAGCATCTGGCGCGGACGAGACAGCAGGAAGCGTAGAGAAGGGACGGGACAAGGAGGGATGCGAGAAGGTGTGCAAGGGAAAGAGTGACTGCATTTCCATGTTGCGGTAGGTGTAGCCAACGAAATTGATGTCCTTGGATGGCAGCATCTGAGGTGGAAGAGAAAGCGGGGAGAGGGGATGGGATGGGATGGGATGGGATGGGACAAGGCAGACACTAGAAGCAGTGGCTGAGTGTGTCTCCTGCGCTATTTTTATGTTGCGGTAAGTCTGGCACTGTGGCATACGAAGTTGATGTCCTTGTATGGGCAGCATCAGGGGTAGGGAGAGAAAGAGGGAGGGAGTGGAGGGAAGGAATGTGAAAAGGAGTGGAAGGGAAGGAGTGAGCATGTAGCATGCACGATATACATGTTGTCGTAGGAGGAGCTAACAGAGTCAATGTCCTTCCTTGGACGGCAGCATCTGGGTCTCATCCACTGCTGGGTCGCCTCTTGAGCTGCGAGGCTTGTGACACACACGTGTGCCTCTCTCAGCACCCAACAAATTGGCTTTTGAGTCGACTCAAAAGTCATCTCGTCCACTGCTGGGTCGCCTCTTGAGCTGCGAGGCTTGTGACACACACACACGTGTACCTCTCTCAGCACCCAACAAATTGGAAGCACGCATCTGACGCTGAATCGCCTTCTTCCAGGGGCCTGACTTGTGCGCTCCATTGGCATCAAGGACCTGCCGCGGAGACTGCTGGGTCGCCTTTGAACTGCGAGGTTGTGAGACACTTACATACGTGTACCTCTCAACACCAACAACTTGGATGCATGCATCTGATGCTGACTCACTGAATCCGACTCACCTTCTTCCAGGGACCTGACTTCTGCGCTCCATTGGCCTCAACGACCTGCGGCAGAGGCTGCTGGGTCGCCTTTGACCCTATATGAATTTTCAGACGCCTCAAAAATCGTTCAGAAACGCCTCAAGAATCTGATGCTGACTCACCTTCTTCCTGCACGCTACAACTCACCTTCTTCCAGGGGCCTGCCTTCTGCGCTCCACTGGCCTCAACGACCTGCAGGGGAGAGGACGCGGAGTGGAAGACAGGAAGAGAAGGAGAGAGGAAGAGAGGGAGAGAGGAAGAGGGGAAGAGGGGAAGACGGGAAGAGGGGAAGAGTGGAAGAGAGGGAGAGAGAAAGAGAGGAAGAGTGGAAGAGAGGAAGAGAGAAAGAGAGGAAGAGTGGAAGAGGGGAAGTGTGGAAGAGAGGAAGAGGGGAAGAGAGGAAGAGAGGAAGAGTGAAAGAGAGGAAGAGAGAAAGAGGGGAAGAGAGAAGGAGGGGAAGTGAAAAAGAGCGGAAGAGAGAAACAGGGGAAGAGAAAAAGGACGTGTGGACAAGGAAATAAGCATGGCGTGGTGTGGTGGTTTGGTGAATTGCATTGGAAGTTGAAGAGAATTACACACACACACACACACACACACACACTCACACACACACACACACAAACGGGGGGGGGGGGGGGGGGGGGAGGGGGGGCGGAAGTGTGAACATATCATGCCATGCCATGCCATGCCATGCATGCAAGTGCTTAGTTCAGCGTGTCTCTCACTGTGCACCTCACTCACCTCATCGAACTTCTCAAAGTTCTGTGTGTCAAGTCAAGCTCATTGTTGACCTTGGGCAGGAAAACTCACAGTCAGCTCACAACACATTCTTCTTGAGTTCAGAATGTCTCAACACTCACCTTTTGAGTTCAGCGTGTCTCAACACACAAATAAGAGTTCAGCACGTCTCTCACTTGCCTCCATCTTGCCGTGCCATGCCATGCCATGTCATGCGTGCAATGCAAGTGCCTAGTTCAGTGTGTCTCTCACTGTGTCCTCCCCCACCCACTCACCTCGTCAAACTTCTCAAAGTTCTGTGTGTCGAGCTCGTCGTTAACCTCCGGAAGGAAAGCCGCCTCCATCTTGTACAGGCGGTCCCAGGGGAGGCCGCGGAACCACGGGTGGTTCTGATAGTGGGGTGGGGGAAGAGGGGGTGTCACAGGAAAGGGGTTGTGGGGAGGAGTGGAGCATTGAAGAGATGGGTGGCTCTGGGGAACGTAGGGAGCGGGGGGGAGGCGGGGGGGCGGGGGGGGAGGAAGGGGAGGGAGGGGGGGAGCGGGTGGGAAGGTGGTGCGGGGTGGAGGAGTGGAACATGTTCTCACACACACTCCACACACCTTGATGCCGTTGACGCTCCTGGTGCCCAGGCGGTGCTCCACGTCACACAGCAGGCGGCAGATGAGGTCCCTGGCCTCCCGGGATGCAGTGCAGAACGCACCACACAGTGCGTTATACACCACACAGTGCGTTATACACCACACAGTGCGTTATACACCACACAGTGCGTTATACACCACACAGTGCGTTATACACCACACAGTGCGTTATACACCACACAGTGCGTTATACACCACACCACACCACACCACAGCATACACAAACACATGCACTCCTCACACACTCCACACACCTTGATGTCGCCGACGCTCCTGGTGCCCAGGCGGTGCTCCACGTCGCACAGAAGGCGGCAGATGAGGTCCCTGGCCTCCCGGGAGATGATCACCTCCTCGGGGAACTTGAGGTGCGTGCGCCAGTTTACAATCTGAGGGGGAGGAGGAGGGTTGGAAGGGGAAAGGGGAGGGGAGGAGGGAGGGGAAGGGGAGAGAGTAGGGGTTTGGGGATGGAGGAGGGGTTAGGCGGGGACTAGAGGGTGCAATTCAGATCCCTGGCCTCCCAACACGGCCTCACAGCAGGCGGCAGATGAGGTCCCTGGCCTCCCGGGAGATGATCACCTCCTCAGGGAACTTGAGGTGCGTGCGCCAGTTCACAATCTGAGGGCGAGGACGGACGGGGGTGAAGGGGGGCGAGGGAAGGGAGGGGGTGGGGGAAGGGTTAGGTGTGATTGAGGTCCCTGGCCTCTCGGAAGATGATCGCCTCCTCGGGGAACTTGAGGTGCGTGCGCCAGTTGACGATCTGAGGGGGAGGAGAGGGGTTTAGGGAGGGTTGGGGGCGGGAGTTAGGCAGGGACTAGAAAGCGCAATTCAGGTACCCGGCCTCCCAGCACGCCCTCACAGCAGGCGGCAGATCAGGTCCCTGGCCTCCCGGGAGATTATCACCTCCTCTGGGAACGTGAGATGCGTGCGCCAGTTCACAATCTGGGAGAGAGCGGAGTGGGAGGAGAGGAGGTAGCAGGAAAGAGGGAGATCGGATCAAAAGGTCAGCTCTGGCCTCGCGCGAGATGATCACTTCCTCTGGGAACTTGAGATGCGTGCGCCAGTTCACACTCTGGGTGGGGTTGGGGAAGGAGGGCGCGGGAAAGGGGAGGGTGGGGGAGGGGTTAGGCGCAAATGAGGTCTCTGGCCTCGCGCGAGATTATCAGTTCCTCTGGGAACTTGAGACGCGCGTGCGCCAGTTCACAATCTGAGTTGGAAGGATGGGGATTGGAGGAAGAGGGGGGAGGGAGGATTTTGGGTTGGAGAAGGGGTCTCGGCATGTGGTCATGTGCATTGTGCCACGTCATAGGGTCAAGCCAATGACAGGTCGCATGGTACCTTGCGACAGGTTGTCATGGGGTCATCAGAGTAGAAAGGCGGGTAGCCGATGAGCATCTCGTACATGATGGCTCCCATGCTCCACCTGGAGGGTGACGGGGGTAATGATGCAAGGAGGAAGCAAATGAGAGGCATGTAATGGGACAAAGGAAATGGTATACATACAACAGTCAAGGATGAAAACGCCATCAGCAAGACTGTACAGATCATGCTATGTATATAATGCATGGACGCACACACGCACGCATGCGCGCGCGCGCACACACACACACACACACACACACACACACACACATGCACTCACCAATCACACTCCAGGCTGTATCCCTTCTTGAGCAGCACTTCAGGTGCGATGTAGTCCGGAGTTCCCACCGTGGAGTAGGCCTGAGGGACAGGAGAGGACAGGAAGCGGAGGAGAGAGGGAGATGAGGAGAGAGGGAGATGAGGAGAGAGGGAGATGAGGAGAGAGGGAGATGAGGAGAGAGGGAGATAAGGAGAGAGGGAGATGAGGAGAGAGGGAGATGAGGAGAGAGGGAGATAAGGAGAGAGGGAGATGAGGAGAGAGGGAGATAAGGAGAGAGGGAGATGAGGAGAGAGGGAGATGAGGAGAGAGGGAACGGAAGGAAAGATTTTGCGTGAGGTACTCCCTTGAGTATCCACTATGGGGTAGGTACGAGGAGGAATAGGAGGAGCAGGCACAGAATAGGGAGAGGGGGTGCGGAAGAAACAAAGGAATGGTTTGGAAAGGGAATCACATGGCGAACCCATAATCGGAAAATTTCCACCCTTTTCCACCCTACCCCACCCCCTGCTCACCAGTGTGCGGCGGTTCTTCTGCCAGTTCTGCAGCTGCTCCGCCTCCTGCCTGACCCCGGGTGGCTGCCATCCAGAGACGCGTTGGAGAGCATGGCCTCCTCCCTCCTGCACCCCTGCCCCCCTTCCCTTACCCAGACCGCCTTCCCCACCCCCAACCCACCAGAGTGCGGCGGTTCTTCTGCCAGTTCTGCAGCTGCTCCGCCTGACTGCGCCCTGATCCCGGATGGGTGCTGTCCAGAGACGCGTTGGAGAGCATGGCAGCCGCCTCCTCGACGTCCACGGCGGGGAAGGTGCTGGTGTCGAGCGGCTTGCACAGCCCGAAGTCAGACAGCTTCATGTGCCCGTGGCGGTCCAGCAGCAGATTGTCCGGCTTGATGTCCCTGGGGGGGGGGGGGGAGGGGGGTGGGCGGAAGGGGCGGATGCGGGAGTGGGGGGAGATGTAAGGAGCGGAGGCGGATGGGGAAGCGGGAAGGGGAGTGGGGTAAGGGGGATGGGGAAGAGAGGCAGAGACGCGTTGGAGAGCATGGCAGCGGCCTCCTCGACGTCGACGGCGGGGAAGGTGCTGGTGTCGAGCGGCTTGCACAGCCCGAAGTCAGACAGCTTCATGTGCCCGTGGCGGTCCAGCAGCAGATTGTCCGGCTTGATGTCCCTGAGGGGCGGAGGGGAGGGGTGCCGGGGAGAAGGGGGAATGGGAGACGGAAATGAGTAAGAGACACTTCACACAGCATCATGTGCACGTGGCGGTCCAGCAGCAGATTGTCTGGCTTTATGTCCTTGGTGGGAGAGATCGGGGGTTGCAAGAGGAGGTTTAGAGATAGGAAAGGAGGACGGGTACGCCAGGGAGACATTGGCACAGAAAAAGCCTACCTGTGCCCCCCTAGTTCCCTGACCACCTGTGCGCGTGGATACCCTTCCAGCCCCGCCCACTTGTGCACGTAGTTGTGCTTGTGAATGCTTTCAATGGCCAGCACCGTCTCGCCCGCGTAGAAACCAACAGTTCCATCGTTACCCCACCACACTCACTGGTACCAATGTGGCTCATGCGTCCACTCAACTCCAATCCAGGCCCGCCCACCTGTGTGCCACCTTTTATCACCCACCTGTGCACGTGGATTCCATGCTATCACCCGCCCACCTGTGCACGTAGTTGTGCTTGTGGATGCTCTCAATCGCCAGCACCGTCTCGCCCACGTAGAACCGCGCCTCGTCTTCAGTGAGCGTGTCCTTGCGCATGAGCAGCGTCATCATGTCGCCCCCCGGCAGGTACTCCATCACCAGGTACAGAAACTCGTCATCCTGGAACGAGCAGTAGAGCTGCACGATGCACTTGCTCTCCACTTCAGCCAGCAGGTTTCGCTCTGCCTTCACGTGCTCCACCTGCGGGCATATTGTAGAACAGGGAGAGGGACAAACAGGGTAGTAGAAGGGTACTCCATCACCAGGTACAGAAACTTATCGTCCTGGAACGAGCAGTAGAGCTGCACGATGCACTTGCTCTCCACCTCCGCCAGGAGGTTTCGCTCTGCCTTCACGTGCTCCACCTGTGGGCGATCAGAGTTCACCATCACATCACCGGGTGAAGGTAGGGCAACAAGGGTTAAAGTACTGGGGTTACTGGGTCCATGATCCATCACCACGGTCCAGGTACAGAAACTCGTCGTCCTGAAACGAGCAGTAGAGCTGCACGATGCACTTGCTCTCCACTTCTGCCAGCAGGTTGCGCTCTGCTTTCACATGCTCCACCTGTTGACAGGGCGGAGAAAGAAGGGTGAGGGGAGGGTTGGAAGAGGGGTTGTAGCGAGGGTTATCAGAAGGTGTGCCAAGTGTGGGGAGGGCAAAGAAGGATAGAAAAGAGGGCTGTACCAAGAACGAACGAGATTCGCCCTGAAGCAGTACAGGTGCACGATGCGTCGCTTGTCCTCCAAACAAACACACACACACAAACATCCTCCCGCCCTCTTCCCCTCCCCCCCCCTCCATCCCCCAACACACACCTGGCCGCGCCGAAGCATCTCTGCTTTCTTGAGTTTCTTCATGGCGTACACACTGCCCGTCTTCTTCTCCCGACAGATGCGCACCTGCCAAGGTGGATCGCATGGTAGAGTGAGTGGGTGAGAAGGGGGCAGCAAACGGGTCACAAGGGGTCGGCAAAGGGGTGGCAAAGGAACGGGCAGGGGAGGCGGGGCGGCGGCCAGAGAAAGCTCGCACAAAACGAGGGAAGGAAGAAGAACAAGGCTACAAGACACCTGGTTGGTAGATACTTCATGGTTAGAGAACCTCTTCTGTCTCCCTTTCTCTACCCTGTACCCATCAACTTCTCCGCCCCATCCCCCCATACCTCCCCAAAGACCCCTCGACCAATGATAGTAAGCAGCTCAAAGTCGTCGACGCTCATCTCTTGTGTCCGATCCTCCCCCGCTTCCCCTTAACGACCATCCTCTTTACTGAACAGCTGCCCAATAATCCGCATGTACCTCCCCGAAGGCTCCTCGGCCAATGATAGTGAGCAGTTCAAAGTCGTCTCATCTTGTGGCGCTGCAGGCGGCGGAACTCCGTCTCGCGCCTCTCCAGCTCCTGCATGATGCGCTGCTGCTCCTCCATGTTGCACTGCTGCAAGTCGCCTACGATCAACTCTTGTGTCCCGTCCTGTCACCCTGCCCACCCACCCCCCTCCCCACCACCGCACATTCTTCCCCCCTCTTTCTCCCCCGCCCTTCACCCATCAACATCAATTCCACCAACCTCATCCCTAACGTACCTCCCCGAAGGCTCCTCGGCCAATGATGGTGAGCAGCTCGAAGTCGTCGACGCTCATCTTGTGGCGCTGCAGGCGGCGGAACTCCGTCTCGCGCCGCTCGAGCTCCTGCATGATGCGCTGCTGCTCCTCCTCCGGCACGTCCTCCTCCTCCAGCTTCCGCTCCAGCTCGTTGCGCCTGATACACGCAAAAGGCAGGTGACAAATTACGAGGGGGGAGGCAGAGAGGGGGGGGGGGGGGGGGGGGAGAGGAGGGGAAGAGGGGGGGTTAGGGAAATGGCGGATGGCGTCTGTCCGTCCGCCTCACGAGGCGTGAGGCAAGGGAGGGAATGGGGTAAGGGACGTAATGCATGGGGGACGGCATGTCTCCGTCTCGCGCCTCTCCAGCTCCTGCATGATGCGCTGCTGCTCCTCCTCCGGCACGTCCTCCTCCTCCAGCTTCCGCTCCAGCTCGTTGCGCCTGCCATGGAACAAAGAGTAAACGATCGGCACAAGGAACGATGCAATAGTGATCAGTCAGTTTCGCGCCTCTCCGGATTCTGCATGATGTCCTGCTCTGCTGCTCCTCAAGCATGTCAGGTTAGGTCAGGAAGTGTCAGGTTAGGTCAGGTAGTTTCAGGTTAGGTCAGGTCATGTCAGGTCAGGTCAGGTCAGTTCAGCTCAGTAATTAAGAAACACAAGGTAGGAAGGGAAGAATCTAGAAAGTTGAATTGGAAACTCCCGTATCCCGCCGGCATTGGACCTTCTGCCGGAAAACCGAAGCTCTGCCTTCCCTTCGGCTGGTCATCCTCCTTCCAACTTCCGCGGCAGCTCATCATACATTCCGAAGGAAACCTTCCAACTTCGGCTGATCTTGCGATTCTTTCGGAAACCTTATCGTATCCAGCATGGATTCGCCAGCTCGCGACACATGGCATACAGTCCTGATAGATGCAAGGTGCTGCTCCTGCTGGTTCCACAGCAGCGTGAGCAATTTCGGGATCTGCATGAAAAAAAGTAGTCAGACTCCAACTACCACCGACTGCCTTCGTTAATAATAAGTTCGAGTTATCGCTCAGTCCCTTCATTGTCGTCGTCGAGAAATTCGTGTGAAAAACTGTAGCAAGAAGTATGAAGCAATGTCGCGAAAAACATGAGGGAAGCAACGTCGCGAGAATGCTGAAACATCGACGTGAAAACTAAGATTAACGAGAACGGCGAGATGCACTACAATAACCCGTCGCGCATTATGATTCTGTGTATCTTGGGTTCCACCTTTCACCTACATGCATCCCGTCATGCAGGCGTCTTTTGCGCAGTTTCTAAATACGCCTAACGTTACCCTCTAATTTAACCTGATAATGTTAACGTCGTTGGTTACGAGACTCAACAGCGCATTGCGGAAACGGATGAAACGAACTGGAACCATACCTATCCTTGCGTTCTTGAATCGTCTTCATCTGGTTCCGGTAATGCTGCTCGATGTAGTTTTTCGCAGCAGCCACCTTCTGCTTAGTAATGTCCGACGCAGGATCCATTTCCTGCTCCGGAGGTTCCACTCCCTCCTCGTCCTCCCGGATCCGTCCTGGTCCCGGAGGCTTCGGCGCTCGCATGTTGAACCATCGACGGTTGTCCGCCATGGCTGCAGACCTAGCTGCAGAAGTGGCTGCAAAACCAAATAATAAGAACTACTCCCACGCAGTATGACTAATTCATTTAGATTGGCACAAGAAAAATGGGAGTAGAAGGAAGCAGGAAAACTACGGACTTGTCCAGTTCAGACAACCAACCAACCAACAGCAATGACTTCACATGAGATAAGAGCTAGCAAAGTAAGCAGGTAAGAGTTTTGACTTGTTGCGCAATTCGCGGATACCCACCTTGAGATCTCAGGAAGTGTTCTGCATGCTCAAATTTCGTTTAATATAACGGTTCCGTGCGATTCTTGGCAATTTTTAACGGTACAGAGTCATCACCGCTTATAACCGCTACTCTATCTGAACCGTAGATCAGTCCGTTCTTTTTCAACTGTCAGAGGAGTTCCCAAGGGTCGGTTTGGTAACATCCCTCACTCGCGAATGTTAGGGCGGAGATGCTGGCGCGCGGAGCTCCGCGCTTCTGCCCAGACGGAAAGTGGACGGAACAGTCGAATGGGAAGACTGGGACTAGACGGAGAAAGACGGTAAAGGTACGACAAGCAGCATTTGCTTCACCAAACGCTTCGGCGATTCGCCAAGCGACTGTAGGGACTTGACAGCTGGGATAGGTCACAAAATTTTGCCGTTTTGCAGAACGTTGAAATATCGTCCTTACGTTTTTGTCGTACTTGGTGAATTCTTTAAAATGCTACACCATTACTCAAGTTTCATAGGCTTCAACTTTGTGCCGTGAACTAATATTCTGTTGTACATCTCCATACCAACTCAATTCAAGCGCCAGCACGGTCCATTTCGGGTGTCTGATAAGGAGAAGTTTGCGGTGGCGAGGATCTCTAAGGCGTCAGGGGGGGTGGTGACAATAGAGGATATGGTGGTGCTGCCGGGGAAGCGGGTTGATGTAGTGGTGCGACGACCAATGGCCGAAGAGGCTCACGCTCTAGAGATCAGCGTCGCGGACCATCGCTGTATCCATATCTGCTATGGCAGTGCGGGCGTTCCATAGGAGTGGCGGCAAGGGAGTGGGAGCGTCGCAAGATGGGTAATTACGCACATCTGCTTGCACGCAAGTAGGGCGTGCAGTTCAGCCCTCCATGGGGGGGGTGGATGTTGATTTGGTGGACAGGGGGAGGGACGATGCCGAGGTGGAGGGTGGGGTTCTCTGGGTGCAGGCCCCATACATGTTGGATGCATGGATGTGAATGAGGGGGAGTGAGGTGGGGAGTGCGATGGCTGCAAGGTTTGGAATGTGATAGCAGTAAGGGTTTCGAATGTGATGGCAGCAAGTTTTGGAATGTGATGGCAGCGAGGTTTGGAATGTGCTGGCAGCAACGTCTTGGTCAATGTTTGTGTTTGGATGTTTACGAACCCTAAACTCCAAACAGTGTGTAATTATTGTTTGTGAAAGCAATGGTAACGTTTCCAAACAGTGCGTAGTCATTGTTTGTGAAAGAAATGGTAACGTTTCAAAACTCAATTCATCCGATGGCTGCCAACATTTTTACATGACACTATATCAAACTCATCCCATCGGTACTTTGTGAAATCAAACTGTTAATTGAATGTGAAGGCTTTTTTATTATTGAAAGCTTCTACATTAGTGGAATTTCATTTCTGGTGAAGTATAGGTTCAAATAGGGATCTAACAGAGAAAGCTATATCGATACACAATATACATCACAAGTGCGGTTTGGCAGATACACTTAACATGGTGGTCCATAAACTCACTGTGCTGGTGGTGGAGGAGGTGGAGGTGGCGGCGGAGGAGGGGGTGGGGGTGGAGATGGAGGTGAGGGGGGTGGTGGAGATGGCTGTGAAGGTACAGGTGAAGGGGTAGGTGGAGGAGGTGGAGATGAAGGGGGTGGTGGAGATGGCTGTTAAGGAACAGGTGAAGGGGGAGGTGGAGGAGGTGGAGGTGAAGGGGGTGGTGGAGACGGTTGCGAAGGAACAGGTGAAGGGGTGGGTGGAGGAGGTGGAGGAGGAGGAGGGCTAGGAAGAACCGCTGGTGTCGGTGGTGGTGGCTTTGAGATAGGCGGTGGGGTTGTAGGGCGACAATGAGGTGGTGGCGGTGGCTTTGAGACTGGAGGTGGGGTTGTAGGGCGACAGAGTAGTGGCGGTGGTGGAGTGGTACAATGTTTTGGAGCAGGTGCCGGAACTGGAGCAGGGCCTGGTGCCGGCACAGGTGCAGGGCTGGGAGCAGGCACAGGGGTAGGGCTGGGTGCAGGTCCGGGAGCAGGCACGGGGGCAGGGCTGGGAGCAGGCATGGGGGCAGGGCTGGGAGCAGGCACGGGGGCAGGGCTGGGAGCAGGCACGGGGGAAGGGCTGGGAGCAGGCATGGGGGAAGAGCTGGGAGCAGGCACGGGGGCAGGTCTCGGAGCAGGCACGGGGGCAGGGCTGGGAGCAGGCACGGGGGCAGGGCTGGGAGCAGGCACGGGTGCAGGGCTGGGAGCAGGCACGGGTGCAGGGCTGGGTGCTGAAACTGGTGCCTGACTCACATTTCCAGCACACGAACCACTGGGTCCCTTAGGTCCTGTTTTAAACGCGAGGCAGCGGCGCGCGTCAGGATAAGCCCTCTGGTTCTCATCCCCCGGATTGAGGTTCAGAACAGAGCCATTCACTGGAATAGCCGCAGATGTGAGTGCGAGAACTGCACAGATGTTTTCAAAGGCTGCACGGGTGAAAGGGGCGTTGATGCCGCGCATTCGCAGGGTTGGGGGGTTTCCCGTGAGGTAGAACTGGTTGGAGGTGTAGGATTGGACGAAACGAGGAGAGATGCAGAAGAGTGTGTTGTCCCCGCTATTGGCTGATTCGAGAACGTTGCCGTACTTCTCTACGATTGGAGTTGCTGTCACTTGACCATCGGGGACGCTAGGAAGCCTGTGAAGAATGAAAAAAAAACCAATAAACCATATGAATTAAGTAGAGAATAAAGTAGCAAATCATATTGAAAAGGAAAAGAAAATAAAATTAATGCTTACTGGAAAATGGGAACAGAATTTTTGTTTCCTTGAAAGAAGAAGTCGCAATCTGCAAGAGGACTGGCTGGGCATGCTGAAACGGGAGTCTGCTGCAGCCTCCTTGAAGCATGCATGTAACGTTTCGTACGAAAACTACTTCCCATCCTCAAAGCGCTCGAATGTGCAGGCCATTGAAGCGTTATCACAAGCCAAAATAGAAAAAAACGAGGCAACAAACTCGTCGTCATGATCACGCCTCTACTATCTCCACGCACACGAATCTGCGTCAAAACCATATGTAGAAGAGGAAATTCTTGGAAAAACAAACAGTCAACGAAATAAACCGACTAAACGGACAGGACTGCCTAAAGCTGCAGCAGTACCAAGCAATACTGCAGATGCAATCTATCACTCCGGGCAAGAACAATGCGAAGTGGTGGTGTTGAATTGCATGTGCTGTTGAAATTGAATGTGATTTCTTGGAGGCAGATTGTAGCCGAGTCGGCTTCATCTGGAGCCGCGCTCACAAATTTTCGAGGCTGGCTGTCCTGGTTCGAGGCCTCACTGTTCGCCAGCTCAGCCAGCCAAAGCTGGTCCCCAACCACACAGAAACCCACGAACTGCCACGCAAGCTATGTTTAGCTGAATGCTGTTTCGGAAAGAGACACGAGGTACCTGCCAGCTGTGCTGTTTCCATTCGCAAGCTGGCTCGACGCTGACCTGTATTTTTCGTTGAGTGGTAACCATTTCGAAGGCCTTCAGCTGAAAATACCACGTATCCGCTCTTAGAATCCTCAGTAAGGATGATATGGTTCCGACTCGAGTTATCAGTGGTGCAAATACACATCCAAGGTGGAATTTCGTCCATAATAAACAGCAGCAAAGCTGTAGTACTCAGGTATGTTAGGATATCCAGCATGTTAGTACGCCTAGTTCGCTTGGATCTGCATTTAAGTCTGGTTGCTTTCAAATAGCGCCCGTCCAAATTAACGGCCAGGATTGCCTGTTCATGGGCAGTGAAGGTGATCTGCGGTCCGACAGCAATCCCTCCTCTAGCAGTCACGCTCCGAACCCTAACGTAGATTCCTTGGTTTCACCTATCTCCGCAGTAACCACAACTGCCGTACCCTCCACCAGCACCACCACAGCCGCTGCCGTCGCCGCCGCCCCCGCCGCTCGTCGCGCTGGTCACCCTGCCAGTAGTCGTGTCGCGGCAGCCGCTACGCTCGACGGCAGTGCTGCCGAGCCATCATCGAAGCGCGCCAGGCTCTCCTGCCCGTATCACGACCACGACTCTGCTGCGTCCGCCCGCGGCTCCGATTCGTGCTCGTTTTGCGCATCTGCCGCCGCGACTCTGGGGAATCTTTCTGGGGATCACCCCGCAGGGGCCACTGCCATTTGTCACGCCACGATTGGTCGATTTGCGACCCTTTCCATGGGGATGGGGCCAGGGGATGGTGCTGCGGACTCTGCAGGAGGGGGGCGAGTAGAGAGGAGTTACCAGCCGTCTGATCGCGATCGGCTCGGATCCAAGGGTCAGGTTCGCACAGTGGAGTTTATCCGCCTTATAGAGCAATCGCTGCGTTCCTTAGGGTATGATTCGATAGCGGCCCAACTGGAAGCGGAATCGGGCGTAGCTCTGGAATCCAAGCCTGTAGCGCAGCTTCGGCAAGCAATTATGGCTGGCCAATGGGAGGAGAGCGTCGCAATTTTGTCGAACCTACAAGGTTTGGACCCCTCTTTGCTTCGGCACGCCGAATTCCTCCTTCTGGAGCAGAAATTCCTCGAGCTTGTCGAAGCTGGGGAGGTTCGGGAAGCCTTGACGACCCTTAGAGGCAGGCTCGGACCCACAGCTTCGGATCCGAAGCGGCTGCATCAGCTGGCTGGCTGGCTCCTGTGTGCCGGACCTGAGGACCTCAAGGCTCGGTCCGGCTGGCCCGGGACAGGTTCAGAATCCCGAGGCTCGGTTCTGAAAGCGGTACAGGCACTGCTTCCGGCGTCAGTGATGGTTCCTGATCGGAGATTGGAGCAGCTTATAGAGAGTACGGTGGAGATGGGTCGAGAGCGGTGCCACTACCACAACGTGGCTGACGAGGCGTTGACACTGTTCACGGACCATTCGTGCGGGCGGGAAATGATTCCCACGGTTACCACTCAGGTAGGGGGGTAGTCAGTGTTACCACTCAGGTAGGTGTGTAACCAGTGTTACCACTTAGGTAGGGTTGTAGTTTCATCAATAGCACTTTGGTGGAGGGGTGATAGTAACAGCTCACCATTTCCCACTTTTAACTCTCTGTTTTCTCTCTCCCCCCCAGCTTTGCCTCCCCCACTTCTCCCCTTCTTCTCCATCCCTCAGGTGCTGGCGGAGAAGCACAGCGACGAGGTGTTGTGCGTGCAGCTCCTATTGACACTCTGCTCCCGTTGCGCATTTTTCCTCCCCCTCCCCACCCTCTCTTCCCCCCTTTCCCCCTCCTCTCAGGTCCTGGAGCAGCACAGCGACGAGGTGTGGTGTGTGCAGTTCTCCCACGACGGCACCAGGCTCGCCACTGCTTCCAAGGACCACACCGCTGTGGTGTGGCAGGTGAGGCTTGCTTTGATCCACGGTCCACCACCACACTGAACCGCACTCAAACTCTTCCCACCTGAGGTGCCATCGGTGTATTGGAGCAGCACAGCGACGAGGTGTGGTGTGTGCAGTTCTCCCACGACGGCACCAGGCTTGCCACTGCCTCTAAAGACCACACGGCTGTCGTCTGGCAGGTGAGGCTTACTTCCCTACCTTCTCCCACCGCACTGAACCGCACTCAAGCATACTGTGGAGAGCAACTCCTCCCGTCTCCTACAACGGCACCAGGCTCGCCACTGCCTCTAAGGACCACACGGCTGTGGTGTGGCAGGTGAGACCTACTGCTTTACCTACCCGCACCACACTGAATCGCACTCCAGCACACTGAGCTGTCAAGAGCGACTCCTCTCATCTCTCACGATGGCACCATGCTCGCCACTGCTTCTAAAGACCACCCGTCTGTTGTCTGGCAGGTGAGGCCTGCTTCTTTACCTTCCCCCACCGCACTGAACCGCATTGAATCGCACCGCTGTGGCTCTTAAGATTGATTCCCCCCATCTCCCACGGTAGCACCAGGCTGGCCACCGCTTCTAAGGACCACACCGCCTCTAAGGACCACACCGCCTCTAAGGACCACACCGCCTCTAAGGACCACACCGCCTCTAAGGACCAAGACGCCTCTAAGGACCACACCGCCTCTAAGGACCACACCACCTCTAAGGACCACACCACCTCTAAGGACCACACCGCCTCTAAGGACCACACCGCCTCTAAGGACCACACCGCCTCTAAGGACCACACCGCCTCTAAGGACCACACCGCCTCTAAGGACCACACCGCCTCTAAGGACCACACCGCCTCTAAGGACCACACCGCCTCTAACGACCACACCGCCTCTAAGGACCACACCGCCTCTAAGGACCACACCGCCTCTAAGGACCACACCGCCTCTAAGGACCACACCGCCTCTAAGGACCACACCGCTGTAATAAAATGTGCTCTGATCAATCTACCAATGCCTGTCCGCCTTACGGAGCGCATAGGCAGGGGGGCAGTGCTAGATGATCAGAGCACATTTTACCACTCCCCCCCTCTCCTCCAATCCACTCTAGCTTACTGACCCTCTTCCTTTCTACCCTTACCCTCCCCTTACCCGCCCTTTTTGCTGTCGTTACCCTTCCCTGCCGCAGATCGTTGACAGTTTCTCCCACCGTCGCCTGCACACACTCGCGGGTCATTCTCTCCCGCTCTCCTACGTGGCATGGAGCCCAGACGACTCGCTGCTGCTCACAGCCGGCAACAACCACATTCACACCCCCCCTTCCCTCCCTCCCTCTCTCCCCCACCGTTGTCAGATCGTTGACAGTTTCTCCCATCGTCGCCTGCACACCCTGTCCGGTCACTCCCTCCCGCTCTCCTACGTGGCGTGGAGTCCAGACGACTCGCTGCTGCTCACAGCCGGCAACGACCCCTTCGTGTGCCTCTGGGATGCTGCCACTGGTCGCCTGCTCCGCTCCTTCTCCAAACACCATGACGTGAGTCGCTGCCTTGCTGCCTGCCTGCCTGCCTGCCTGCCCGCCGGCCTGCCTGCCTTCCTGCACCCCACCACACTCCTCACTCCACCACACTTATCAACTCCCATCTCGCCCCCCTCGTTTCACACTCCCTTCCCCTCTCCTTGCTTCCTTGCCCCTTCTCTCTTCAACCCTCGTCCAGGCCATTTCCGCCTGTGCGTGGTTTCCCTGCGGGCGTCGGTTTTTGTCAGCATCTGCGGTGACCGATCGCACAGTGTGTGTGGGACGTGGAGGGTAGCACATTGGCATCGTGGGGAGGCGTGGGGCGGCACCTGTGGCAGCAGGATGGGGCTGACTTCCACCACACTCCACCGCACTCCACCGCACTCCACCAATGCCCCACACTTAACCCCACCCCCTTTTCCTCTCCCTCCCCACCTCCTTCACCCGTTC